GCTCCACTGGGGAATCGCTAGCAGCCTTCCCCCATAAGCTTCTTGGGAAGCGTACCATGATGGGGAAAGCTTCTAGCATCTCCGGAGCTTATCAGCAGCTCAGCGCTGGCTGAGATGGTGCGTGGTGGGTTCCAGATCTAAGGTAGCTACAGTTGGGTTGAAGCCTTGCATGCCTAGAGCTCCACTGGGCTAGATCTGAAACCCACCACGCACCAGCTCAGCCAGCGCTGAGCTTCTCATAAGCTCTGGAGATGCTAGAAGCTTTCCCCGTCATGGTATGGGGAATTGCTAGCAGCCTTCCCCCATAAGCTCCTTGGGAAGCGTACCATGATGGGGAAAGTTTCTAGCATCTCCGGAGCTTATGAGCAGCTCAGCGCTGGCTGAGATGGTGCGTGGTGGGTTTCAGATCTAAGGTAGCTATAGCTGAGTTGAAGCCTTGCATGCCTAGAGCTCCACTGGGGAATTGCTAGCAGCCTTCCCCCATAAACTCCTTGGGAAGCGTACCATGATGGGGCAAGCTTCTAGCACCCCCGGAGCTTATGAGAAGCTCAGCGCTGGCTGAGATGGTGCGTGGTGGGTTCCAGATCTAGGGTAGCTCCAGTTGGGTTGAAGCCCTCCAAAGATCTCTGATGTTGGAATCTGAGTGGTGAGGTTTCAGGCAGGAGATTTCACTGGGATGTAAGCCTTTGAAGATTGAAGCCCTTTAGTCCAAGTTTTGCTTGGAGTTACAAAGAGCTTAGATGGCAAACCAAGGCAAAGCATTCCTCATGGTCTATGAAGCATTCAGCTCATTATCCTGCAGTATATTTGGAGCTGAAGGATGGGGAAGGAGGTGAATTGGAGCTCAGCCTGTTCCCTATTGATTTAGAGCTCTGAAAATTTTAGGAATTATTCCAAGGAAGTCCCTTAGCTAGAAGGTGGGTGATTCTCTTAGATTTCTAATGAGAGAATTTTTTTTTTAACAGCTTATGGGGAAGGAGGTGAATTGGAGCTCAGCCTGTTCCCTATTGATTTAGAGCTCTGAAAATTTTAGGAATTATTCCAAGGAAGTCCCTTAGCTAGAAGGTGGGTGATTCTCTTAGATTTCTAATGAGAGAATTTTTTTTTTAACAGCTTAGGCTGTTGTACAGATTCAGTCCAGTTATTTTATGATTCAATCTGTTGTACAAAACCAAAAAAGAAAACCGTTAATTCGACAACCCGCCTGTTCTGTGATTGCAGCCGGAGGGTCAGCGGAGGGACACATGCCAATTTGCGGCATGGAGAAAGTTGTGAGAGATGCCATTTCTCTGGAGCACATGGCCAGGCTAGCTGGAAAGCACTTGCTTTCAGAACCTGGAAAAACTCTGAAGCTCCGAGAGCCTTTTTCCCTACTCTAAAACTCAAGGTTCTTCTAGGGAGATAACTGTACGGCTTTGAAAAATGAGAATTACAGTGCCCAGATTTCCTTGAAGCCGTAGAGTTTGCAAGAGGCATGTGAGTCTCTTAGCTCAGCCATCCCAGCCTTGAAACAAAAAGGGGGTGAGCAATTTCCCTGCCTCTCTTTCCTTTGTTGAAGGCTAGTTTCCCACTGGGATATGTGCAACCCTTCATGTTAACCTTGAGGTGCGCATGAGATTTTCTCATGCCGCTCCAAGGCTCTGGTTTGAGAAGTGGTTTGGGATGGCCAGATAAGGTACAGGAAGCTTCCCCAAGAACAGGGGGCATTGAGGGAGGGAGGAATGCACCTTCCCAGCTTTCTAAAAATCAGAGCCCAGGTAGGAGAACTAGAAAGTCACCAGCTGAGTGTTGGATTCAGCAAAAAAGAGCGGAGTTTGTATGAGCTTTGGGGGGACTGTTGGGGGGACTGCTGCCTTTCCCCATCCAGATAAATGATTTGGCTTGGTCAGTTATGCATGGGCTTTTGAAGACGCCAAGAGAAAGCAGCTAGCTTCCCCCCACCTGGTCTCCTAGAAGGTCAGTACTCATCTGCTTGAACTTTGGAAGATTCTGGTGGGTACAGTATTATGGATTCACCAATGTCCAGCATTCAGCTGGTAAATTGCATGGTTTTCCTCCAAGCTTCAGCTCTAGAAATGCAGGCAGAGAGAAGGTGGGCTTCCCTTCTGAAATGCAACAGAGTTAGGAGGTATGAAAAATTCTAGCAGTAGATCAGCTGCAGGAAGGGCATTCAGCCAAGCTAAAGCCAAGCTCTTGACAAGCGACAGAAGCAGCTGCCTGCTTCTGTGTGGGTTTGGTGGTTCGGGGACTGCTGAGGATTTGGGAGAGTGCATTGCCCTGCAGAACTCTCCCACCCAGCTTCCTTTGAATGCTTTTGAAAAAGCTGAAGGAAGCTCCTGGAGTTTCTAGAAAGCCTTCCTGAAGCTGAGGATGTGAAGGTGTCACATTCCCCAAGCAATGCTGGCTATGGGAATCATGGAGAAGGGGGTGTTTGGGATTAGGAGGGCTGCTGGGAGAGTGGAGTTCTTTCTCCATAGCTTCCCAGTTGCAAGCCTCCAGCTTAGCTTAAATTTTGGACTGCCACATTCCAGGAAAAAGTATTGAGGAGCTAGACCTGAATGACCCAAGACTTGGTTTTCTGAGCTAAACCTGAGGCCCAATATTGCCTTGTCCTGTTAGATATCCTGATGTAAAAATCTCTGAAAGGTTTCGTTGTCTTCCTGCTTCCTTTTTCTTTTTCCTGCATGGCCACTGAATTGATGCTAAGTGATGATGGCTGTTTATTGCTTGGGATGTTAGACTAATGCAGAATCAGTATCTGAATTGTAGTCACGGCAGCTTTTAATAACTGTTCCTTTAATGTACCATCAGTAGGTTCAGGCCAAGACAAATTTCCCCTCCTGATTTTGGCACACAAAGTGCTCTTAAAAAAACAGAACCAGGCCAAGTCTGGATTGGGGTGGGGGGAGAAGGATGAGATGGTCACCTTTGGGGAGGGAGAAGAATCAGTTTTTATCATGGTCACTGAGAATGCTTTCGCCCTGCTTGTTCTCCAAAGTTAAAGGAGAAGCAGAACTGGGTCCCTCCGATGGCTCTTTGATTCTGTAACAACACAGAAACAGTGTACAGAAGCTTTTAGTAAGTGCCATGCAGTTGACTTGGATTAATATTTCAAAAAGAGCTGTATTTCTTTTTGAGAAAAAAAAAACCCAAAGGCTGCTGAGGTTTTTTCTCAGTTCTTGCCCTTCCCATACGGAAGAGAATTGTGTGTGTCCATCAACACAGCACCAGAGAGAAGGGGACTCAGCTCTTGCACAGAAGAAGCTGAAGCATTTCTCCAGAAGGGCTTCAGATCCTCAACCTAGTTAGGAAGGCCTGTGGGGGATTCCATAAACAGGTCTGGTTATCATGACAGAATACCTCTGGAAAATATCTGAGCCACTTTGGTCTAGTAGTGAGGGTGCTGGCCTAGAAACCAGGAGATTGTGAGTTTTAGGCCTTCCTTAGGCATGAAAGCCAGCTGGGTGACATTGGGCCAGTCATTCCCTCTTAGCCCAACCCACCTCACAGGGTTGTTGTGGTGGGGAAAATAGGAGGAAGGTGTATTAGATGTGTTTGCTACCTTGAGATGATAGATAGATAGATGATAGATAGATAGATAGATGATAGATCAGAATAATAATCATCATGACTTCGTCCAAGAAATCAGGAAAGTTGATAGGATTGGAGCCTAAACTGGGGCCATTAAGAGAGAGATATCCCTTTAGACAGGAGAATTTGAAGGTTTTCTGAAGTTCTGTAATGATCTGTGGGAATATCCTTGAGAGACAGGAGGAAGAGGAGGAGGAGGAAGAGCCGCAAGCAGGGCAACGGTCAGATAAGAGATATCTCAGCCCACAGAAATAATGGAGGTGTGGAAAGCATCTCAGAAGGGACCCTCCCTCATTCCCTGGAAAGTAAAGAAAGGGGGGAGAGATGCGCTTTCAGACTTGCAAGATTCTGTTACAGTAACCTTACAATAAAGGTGGTGCTAGTATTCGTGAAATTGGTTTCGTGTCTGGGCTACCTCGAAGGGCTGACAAGTGCTCCATAGCCACCCAAAAGGGAGCACCCACTGGACAAGAAAGTGGAGGCAAGCAGAATGTCCAGTTTGAGCAAATTATTGGCTTTCGTTTACCTGGCTGACCAAGAGAGCCATGGACTAGTGCAACCTTGTGGTGTAGGTCTCAGGGAAAAGCCCATTTGATGCTTGAGGCCTGAGATCTGCTTCACCTTTTTGAGAACAAATGCTCGATTGGTTTCAAATCTCAGCATGTGGCATGGCGGGGGGGTGGGATTTAGCCTCTCGTTTTGTTCCCCAGGGTCAGAAACATTTCATCATTACAGTTGTGACCTGTGGGTAAATGACATTTTAAAAACTCTTCTTAAGCATTTCTTCTTTTTGGCACTAAGGGTAGATATGCCAGGGAGGTTTGACCAACATTCCTTTCAGGAATCTGAAAATCCATTGCCGTTGAAAGAAAATAGCTAGCATTAGGCCTCCTGGAACTCTTCCAGTTTGCAGTCATACGAATTCAAAATATTTCCCAAGGCTGATCTCAGTGATTCTTACGACAACCCGGAAAAGTTGACCCGTTGTTTTAAATCTCCTATGACAAAGCATGGTGCCGAGACTGAGGGCAAACAAAGATCTCGGGCTATGGGCAGCTAACAGTGAAATGTTTGCACTTCAGTTCATACTTCCTAATCCTACTACATTAGCTCACACATAGGAGGAACATGTGAAGGTGGAATCCATATGAATTGTAAGAACTAATAAGGAACCGAGTGATGCAAACCCACAGACTGGATACTTTCATATAACTTGAAGGTATAAATGAACCAGAACACACACTCCACAAAAGCGTCTGGCTAACTCAGGGAAAACCTACACAAATCATTGCTAATCTTGTCTTCCTTTCTCAGCAAAGCAAGCGTTCGCTTCCTTTCAAGCATTCAATCGCAGCTGAACATGTAACATCTCCAAAACCCGCCGTCCTTCTCTTTTTCTTCTCCCTCAGAACCCCCAAGTGCCCCTTCTCTTTTCCCACTCATCCCATCTGAGAAGAACTCAGGGAGTACAGACATCGTCATCGGATGCCTCGCCAAGAATTTTCTGCCAGATGCAGTCACTTTCTCCTGGAATAATCCAAGCAACGAGAGTCTCAGCGCCGAAAGCTTCAAGAAATTTCCTTCTATTAGGAACCCGGCTGGGACATTCACTGCAGCTTCCGAGGCTAAAGTCTCATTGGAAATATGGAATACATATAAACCATTCTATTGCAAAACTGACCATTCGCAGGGGAACGGAGTGGTAGCAGTTGCTAAACCACAACGTAAGTGAAAGTCTTTGCTTTATTCCACCAACCATATCATCCATGAGAATGTAGGCCACTTTCATACACAACACACTCCATTGTGACCTGAGTTTGTAGAAAATTTAGCCCCCCCCCCCCGCCTCCAGAAGGGCTGCCCTAAATCACCACACATAATATCCTCTTCTTAACCCAATTAATAATTAACAAAGTCTAATTCAGACCTGACATTTTCTACCCAGAAAATGATGATTCCTTCTGAAAGACAGGCACACTAAGGTACTTCCTCTAACCTTGAAACCCAACCCTCTGACTGTAGATGAGGTTGAACAGGATTGGCTTCTTCTTGGCCATGGGAAATGAGTTCTCTGCATATGCTCACCAGTGCCCTGTTATGTGCTCTGGGGCTGAACCCTGCTCATCCTTGTTTCCAGTAGGTCCCTGTTTCCCAGAGATTCAGGTAGATGCAGATGTGTTACTCAATTATGGCCCATAATCAAATACCAGCAGACCACTTCGCTTATCTAATAAGTTTCTAGCTAGATCTGAACATGCAAGCCTCTCCATATTACTGCAACTTCTGAATCTTCATTTATATTATGCCTTTAAGGTGTTGAATTTCCTTGTCATAATCATTTTTTTCTTGCAATGTTCTAGCTCCAGGAGGCCCTCCCCCTGAGATGCTTGTTCGGGCACCACCTCTTGCTGCATTTTTAAGTAGCTACCTAAATTCCACTGTCACCTGTGAAATTAGTAACCTCTGCTCTCCAAACACTGAAATCCACTGGTTTAAGGAGCAAACAGAAATCACCAGTGACATCACCACCAGCAAACCCCTCTTAAATACTCGTGGTACATACACCATCTGGAGCCAACTCATCATCACCAAGGAAGACTGGTTTTCTGGCAAAAAGTTCATCTGTGAAGCGAGAAGCACGGCATACAATCATTCACAGGAGTTCAGCATGCAATCTTTTTGCAAAGGTAAATAGAAGTTTCTTTAGGAATCAGAGCAAGGTGGCCATTCAAGGGATAACACTTTGCCCAAAGGATCCTCTAGATTGAGCACTGAGTTATTCAATTTTTTGGCTCCACTGCTCAACAGAAGATTCATACACACACACACTGTACATATCTTTGTTCACCAGACACTAGGCACACTGTCTCTGAGAGCATCAATTAGTTCAGTAAATTATCTGGGATCAGAATATTCACCTGTATTTTATTGTCAACATAGAGAATCTTCTTTTCTCTGAAGAGCTATACATAGAAAGAATTTAAACAGAGAAAACACATTCTCCTAACTCACAGATGCCAGAAAAAGGGCAAAATGTTATATGCAACCACCTGATATCAATGCTGTCATTTCAAAGGTCATCATTGAGTTTTAGATTTTTTTTCCCCAAAAACTCCATCCTTAAAGCAAAATGGTTTTCCGTTTTGCTGGTTCCATACAAAATGTATCATGAGAGATTCTTAAAATCCCATCTAGTCGCTGTCAGAGATAAATCCAAAGAGAAAATCTGTACATTTCTCAATGATGCATAGGAGCAGGCCCCAGAGATCAAGAGTACAATATTCTTCCACCTGAATGCAGTGTATAGGGGATGAGAGGACCACACACTGTACATTACTTAGCCACTGTTCAAGAGATTTTAATGGATCACAAGAAAGCAGACTCATAAGCAACTCTATCATAAGCTTATTAGTAAATATTAGAAGGGTAGAAAATTTGTACAATTTATTGATTTATTGTAGAATCAAACACTGTTCTCACTTTTGTCTTGAAATCCCTCAGATCCCATAGGGTGTGCATCTGTTAAAGTGGAAACCATCCCCCCAGCTTTTGCTGATATCTACCAGACCAACTCAGCCAAACTGACTTGCAGAATCTCCAATATACCTATTGACATTTCAAACTTGAACGTCACCTGGACACGAAAATCAGACCACAAGCAACTGCATACTGCACTGGGAGATTTGCAGGTCCAGAAAAACCAGATGTTCTACGTTGATGCTATAGCTACAGTGTGTGCAACAGAATGGAAGGAGGGTGAAACTTTTACCTGTAAAGTTACATTTGAAGGCGTACTTGCAAACCCAGTAGAAAAAACCCTGGAGAAGGAGAGTGGTAAGTTTCTATTTTATATTGATCCATATAAAATAGGGGTCACTTGTTCCAGGAGGGTTCTAGATAAGTGAATTTGCTCCTTAATTCCAATCGAGCACATCCACTGAGAATCCAGTTTCCATACCCATAGTGCTCTACAGACTTTTTTTTTTTCAATTTTCACTCTTCTTTTAGGGAGAGAAACTGTATTCTCACTTTCTTCTAGGAAACGTTTGCACACAGCTTGGGGCCACTAGGATGGTGATCAACAGCCTTACACAGATAGCATAAAGTTCATTGTTCCCAGGCTGCTTTGGTCTTGATAAGTCACATTATCCAGCTAGGCTGTATAAGCAAATGAATCCCCTGGCACCTAATTCTGGCTTAGTCATATTCCATATGACCAAATTTCCTTTCTCTTGTCTACGTTAAGTAGGAAAGCCTTCTTTTCTACTAAATATGCACCTTCTACCTCTAAGATAATAAACTAATATTTGTTCTTTGACATATCAAAATGCTAGTGCAGTCTTACAAAGCAGCAGCTACAGTTAAACATGAGAAAGAATGTGTACTAAATATTCTGCTCACCCTTTCCTTGTTCTTTTTCTTTTCCCAACATTCAGGCAGCACAAAACATGCTCCTTCTGTCTACGTCCTTCCACCTCCATCAGAACAACTGGCTTTGCGGGAAGCAGTAACCATCACATGCTTCATTAAAGGTTTCTATCCTGGCAACTTCTTTGTGCGATGGCTCCATAATGAAGAGCCAGTCAATGAATCAGAGTACTACACCAACCAACCCATATTAGAGACCAAAACATCGAACCAGTACTCTGCCTACAGCATGCTGACCACCAACGAACAGTCATGGAGTTCTGGAGACACTTTCACTTGCATAGTGGGACATGAAGCCTTGCCGTTCAGCACAGTGCAGAAGACTATAGACAAGAACACGGGTAAACCATCCATAGTCAACATCTCCTTAGTCCTCTCCGACGCCATGAGCACTTGCTACTAATTCTTAACCTAATTTCTTTTAAGAAACCTTCATTTGCCCTATTCCTACCAGCATGTGTTTCTCCTGCTTCATTATTGATACTTTGGTGGAAGGTTCGCAGTGATGAAGGCAGATATCTAAGGAAAGATGTGGAATGTTAAAGCATTAGCTGGCCACATCTTTTTGAAGAAAATAAAATTTTTGCAATAAAGTATTTTTCTCAAAACAAAGAAAAAATCTGGCTTATTGTGAGAAATAGTGGTGATGCATGACTACACTGGAAGTTCTGACTTCCTCTTGCATCTATATTCCTTCTCCAACTCTTCCTTAACCTTTTCTCATTTCTTTCTTCTAGCAATGCCTCTTGCACTTCACATTCTTCTACAGCATAACAGTCTTTGTTCTAATTGTTCCATCCCTATATTAAACTGGAGAAGAGCTATTTTAGAAAGCTGGTGGACAGCTTCCTTTTTCTGTACCCATCATGGATTATCTACTCCCAACATCAACGCCTAATGTAGAGTTATTCATGTTCTCAGATCACACCATTCTGTACATGCACAGGCTAGGACCATGAAACGTCTTGAACACTTCTCTTTAATTTCTTTTACAATTAAGGAGATGTCTCATCCATTGGGTGTTCATAAGGAATTATCTGTGGCAACATAGCTTCGTTTGTACAGGACAAGGAAGTTCTTAAGAGACAGTTTTATGAATGTCCAAAACACACTAAAATAACCCCCCAACGCATCTTTAATTGGAGCCAAATTCTTTCAATATGAACACAACTAAATAAATATTGAAGGCTATATCTTGCATAACAGGTATCAGTCAGCTAACACAGTTTTAGCTCTGGACAATCTGCCCTTCCTTTTTCTCTTATAAGTGAAAGTAAAAATTGTAGACACCAATACAACGAAGAGGCACACAAACAAGGACAGCTTAGCTGAACAACATAAAACAGGCCTTCTGAGTGCACTGTTGTGCTTCCATTCAGACTCATCGTACATACATTTGTCAAATAGCAAATGCACAATATAATAATCATGTGGTTCTGAATATCAGTGAATGACATTTGGGGTTTCCTGCAAAATAACCTAGTACATCTCAACAATTCTCAGCACACCGATGTTCTTCTATAAAACGCGAAATACAGTATTTTAAAAGAAAGCCACAATTATTTGGTTCATTGTGAATGTTTATAATAATGAAAGTATTTAGAAGATCAAATATTTAGAACTTCAGGACAATAAGAGATTATCTCATGCACTAATACAAGGTCAAAAACTGATGATTGCTTTTAGAGTCCTTAGCTACAGAGGGGAAAATTCACGCAATTTAATTAAATTATTCACTTACATACATTTAACTAATTAACAAATCACGTACATCTATCAACATCGCTTCATTGTGTTAACCACACTGAACATTCTAGCATCCTTAGGAGAAATTTCACAGATTACTTTATTGGGACAACAGAGGAGACAGAACACCCCGAATTGATTTAAAAAAAAAATTAAATCGTTTCCACATTAAATAGTCCTACAATAAGCTAATTAAATTTTCCATACACCCTGAACACTACTCATTTGATCTTTTATAAAACATATATAATACTGCCATCCTTGATACAGTTATTATTTCCCTGTTCTTTGAGCAAATGAATTTTGTTAGACCAGAGCAGAGACCTTCATAGTGGGCAGTCATTATCTTTTCTCTTGTAAGCAAGTAAACAGTAAATTTTATGCTTCAAAACTTTTCACTCCTCCCATCCAACAGATGTAACAAGCCTAAAATTTATACTCTTGATTTTTTACTCTAGTACTTGACTTAAAAAAATACTCCAGACAAATTCTTCTCCACAAGTTTTAATCGTCATAAAATGGCCACAGTGCCAGAAAAGGCCAAAGAACTGTTGCTTCTCCTCAAAGAAGAACCAGAAGAAAGAGAAGGAATTTATGCCCAAGGCCAAAGTACTCATTGGAGGCAAGGTGATCCATGCCCTGAAGCCTCTTTCTTCTCTCTCAACATATGAGGAAGAATACTGGACTCAAGGAAAGTTCCATAAGTGTTCAACGCTAGCATGGACCTTTTCCATCTATCCAATTTCCCATTGCTTCTCAATAATGTTAAGCTATGGATCATCAACCATAGCACTTAGAAAGGCAAAATTCATCCTCAGCCTCATCTTACAGCAAAATACTGGGCAACTCAGTATTGGATGCTGTCGAACTGGAACTCAAAGTCGCATTGGGAAGATTCACTGAATTGAATCCTGCTCAACTTCTTTGTGTAGATGGTAGTCTCCTTAGTGTGTTATGGATCTGACTTAGTTACCTAGCTGACCTGATGCAGCTTGTTTTCAGACAGCGCACTAATAGTCTCTCTTTGTACTCAAGGAAAATTCATAATTCTTGGTTAATATTCAGAGATATAGTGAAAGAGGAATTTAAATCAGAATGCACTGGTTTGCTCATACACTGACATTCACTCACACAGTTACACCAAATAAAATATGACAATATAATGGAATGGATACAGTGCTGACTTTAAATATTGTAAACCACAAATTCAATTCACGAGTGGCCTTGATCGGACCGCTTTCACTTTCTTTACAATTAGCCTATCTTGTGATAATACAAGAGACACTGATTGTAACTTCTTTTGAAGGCTTAGATTCATTTAAAATGAATGTGACATATGAAAAAATCTCCCAGCCAAGAACATACAAAGGATGAGACATTTCTTTGCTCCAAATCAGAGTGTTTTTCATAATTGATATATTCCCAGTGCTTAAATTGTAGCAGCCCATAACAGAACACTCTATATTCACAATCCATGATTACGAGTTGAAAGGAACACATATTGTCCTTTCAAGGATTACACAAAAACCTTGAAACTATTGTGTTCTAGGGATTTCAAGGAGAGTACCTCATCAGATGGATTTCCTGTATCCATTCAGAAAGCAATTGCTCTACTGAATTCATAAAAAATTCATGAATTCATCCTTAAGAGTTCAGCTCTTCAAATTAATTGCAAATGGTGATCAGCCAATATTGCACCATCTTGCCAACCAAAGGTGAAGATTTTAGATCAGCTTGAATATCTTGCCCCAACATGCTGTTCCTTATAAACCTTCTTCCGATGAATCTGCAGGTTTATACATCTTTTCATTGGTGTTCTTTCTTCACTTCACCTCTGCAGATTTGATGGATTGAGTAATTCCCAAGACAAGCACTATTGATCACTCATTGGAAAATAATCTTCAGAAGTCAGTAGAGGGTACAGCCCCCTTTTTATTCCTGATTTGGGATGGTCCTAAGAAATGCCATCTCCCACCCCTCCAAGGCTTTACTAAATTAGCTCACCTCTTCTTTCCCCATGTTTCCTCAGCTATTATTTGGCATCATCAAGTATTTATTGTCTTGCAAAGAACTTTTTCTGTACCTAAGTGCTTCTTTCCTGTCCTGTATCACTTTCACGGCTTTTGCGCGCTATCTTTATTGAATGTGCCATTTAGCTTCAACGCAACTTGACTTCTTTCTGAACTTTAGAAGCTGACCTTCATGTATTGTCCAAAGGTTACATAGATGGAATTGTGGACTCTGAAGATGAAGAAGAATTCCAGAACCTTTCATCCATCCTTTCCACCTTCATCATTCTTTTCCTAGTGAGCCTCTTCTACAGTGCCACTGTGACAGTCATCAAGGTAAGCACATAGAGGATACTGAAGTGAAATATCCTTGATCATATTTTCTAAATAGAGAACTGGTAGACATTAACTTGCAATTGGTGAAGCTGCCTTTTTGTAGTTATCAATGTCCACTTTTGGAATGGATTTCTATCATTTATTAATGATAAGAAAACATACATATAGATATCTGTATGTTTTGTATGTATTTATGTATGTATTTATACATTTTGTATGTATTTTCCGATGGATGGATGGATGGACGGACGGACGGACAGACAGACAGACAGACAGACAGACAGACAGACAGACAGACAGATAGATAGATAGATAGATAGATAGATAGATAGATAGATAGATAGATAGAGGAGAGACAGAGAGAGAGATTATTGATTTATTAGTCTTACAACCATACCAAACAATAAAATAAAGGTAAAATACAAGGTCTAAAGGTAAAATACAAGCTGCCTTTTTGTAGTCATCATTATCCACTTTTGGAATGGATTTCTATCATTTATTGATAACAGGGGGTGATATGAAAACATACGTATAGATATTTGGAAACATTTTGTACGCATTTTCCCTTGTGTCCATACTTCTGGCTGTGTGGTCATTCATTAGAAGCCCGTTTTTAAGGAAATAATTTTCACTACTCCTGAAAATACACTTGTGCGTATTTTTCCTGCTGTACACTTTTTGTGCTCATTGTTCTGCATTGCAGAAAAGACAAAAAGCAAGCACTTGTATCAATTTATGTGTATTAACATTGTGGAATAACCAGTATCTCATATATATCTAATTGTGATATCTGAGAATACTGCAGACTGAGTTGAGAGCAGAAGTGGCACTGGAGTTACTAGAGCCAAATTCCAAATCTAAAGATTTGGCAATAATTTGTAACCCATTTTGGTTGTCACCATTCCTCCAGTCCATTGCTCCAGTTCAGTGTTTCACCAAGGGAATTCTGGCAGCTGGTCCGCATTTCTGGAAATTTTCCAGATTTTCTCTTTTATGATCTATTTGCTTCATTCTCGACTACCTTCACTTCTCACCTGAATTGCTTCTATTTATCTTCAGATTCTCCACTCTTGATGGAGTGGATCCATTCTAACCAACCTTTTTTTTACCCCCTACTTTCTTCTCTTTCTCTCTCCTTATTTCATTAGATCACCAGTACATAACTTAGAAAAGAAAGAGGATGATAAAAGTATATATTAGTGGAGGAGGGCTACAGTCCCCCAACCCCCTTATCTGGCTTCTAGAATTCTCCTTTATTGTTCTATCAAGCTCAGAAACAAGATGCAGAACATCGGCAGCTCACTTTTCTCCCATTATGAGGTAGAAAACACAAGACTCTCAATTCATACCTATCATGCTCTTCCCTTTCCAGGGAAGGTGTGTTATGGAATTGAAGAATGCATAGGGGAAAAATGGAAGATTTTGGGTCCACCCAGATGCATGAGACAGCCCCACCCATTTTGCTTTACAACTCCATGGATTGCAACCAAGGTTGTCCATACCAGAGCAGACAGATATGTGGTAGGATTCTTATAGATCAGGCAGAAGCACCATTTACCAGTTGTTGATTACACTTGACCTCTGAATGTCATGCTAGGAGCCACACTCCACAAAGCAGGGCTTTGAGCCAGGCAAGACCTAGCTTTCATTTCATTTACATTTATGTTTCAAAATATACTTAGGCTAAATTTTCACTAGTGATTTGTACCATCTTCTAAAGTCATCCAGCTACTGTTGGGCTAAAATAACAGTAATGAGAACCGGCTTGATGGTGCTCCACAATATTTGAGTGAGGCTAGAAAATGCTACAAGTCTCTAATGGAGATCCCAGTATACTGTTACTCTCCATTCATTTATTTCATCATTTGCCCTTCACATTAAAAGTGATGACTGACTACATTTCAGACAAACCCATTTTCTGGGAAAATTGGGTTTCATCTCTGCTCAACAGTAACATTATTTCATCTTTTTTCTGATTCCAGGTGAAATAGAAAGACAGAGGCTGGTTCGACCCAAATGACTCCACATTCGTTGACCTACTTTGTTTATTTACGACTTTTCCATCTACTTCTGTGAAAGGAGAAAGGGTTTATTTGAGGGGAATGGCATTTTGACCTTGCTTTGTATCATAGCCATAAGATTTCATATGAGCTGAAACAGCCCAGTTGTTTACAGTTTAGATCCATTGTGAAATTTTGCTTCACTTTATTGTGTTATATTCTGTGTGGTGTATATGTGGATACTTCTCTGTGTCTCAGTTATAGTCATTTTTTATCATTATTATGATTTTAGCCAGAATGATCTGCCTGATCTAATACCCTAAAAGGGCCTTACTGCACTTTTATCTTCATATAAACAGACAGGGGATCACTGCACAATCTGTACTGACCACAATGTTCATCTTTTTTTTAAATTGAGATTGCATACAATGCTGTAATAAATATCTATTCTTGATGAATGACATGCCTCCCTTGTGAATTGTTCCTTGTACTGAAGGTGCCAATTTTGTTATTACAGAATCCCAATTTGCTTTTCCGACAAACTTAGTTACACCATGCAGTGTTTTCTGAATCTTAAAGAAGTGGACATTGCGAGAGTGGGAAGGCTGGAGGAGCATGGCTTCTTGAATTCTTTCCAACCTCTTTACTAACAATGGCCATACCTTTGGGGGGTATATGTGCATTGGGAAGCACAGGATAGGCTGAATGGTCTATCCTGGATAACAAAACTGGGAGGAGGAGGGAAAGGGGTTAGAATGGAACAGTGGCCAGCATGATGTCCAGTTTCCTCACCCGTGGGGATGCAAAGGGGGTTGATGGATCAGGGCCATCTTAAAGCACAATCTTCTTTTGCCAGCTTCTCTCTCTCTTTTTCTCTCTCACACCCACACACGCCAAAGTTGGTCCCCTTCTGTCCCATTTGCAGAGAGGTATCCTGCTCATTAACAGGCAGACAGACTTCCAGATCATTCACATCATCTCTATTCAACCTTCTCTTGGGGTGGAAAAAATAAGAAGGATCACCAGATTCTACGATGCTGATGGTGTTCCCTCCAGTTGGTGTTGCAAGGTTATTTGCGCTTCATATTCAACCCACATTTGGGAGCGAAATTCCCTAGACACCACAAAAATCTGTTTGGAGTGGAAGGCCATAAAGGTTCAGCAGACTCAATTTGTCTTTCATGCCCAGAAGTATTCTCTGCCAGGTACCAAATCTGTATTCAATAGGCCAAGGAGATACACACTCTTCTACATTCCCAGATACATTTATTTCAGTCAGGCAACTGATCAGCAGAAGAGGTAACTATGAATAAACCTTTGTCATCCACAGATCAATATAAGTTAATACATGAAGATTCATTTAAGCAAAACCCTATCTTGGATTTTGGAAATTAAAAATTTTATGAATTGCAACAGGCATTTCTTCTGTTCCTTTGGTCATGTCTCAAGTCCTACTAAAAGTTCAGATCATATACTGATGCAGAACAGAAATCACTCTTTTCACCAACTTGGATTCTGGTTCCTGTGGGTCATTTCCTGGTTCTTCTGGGCCATTATCAGTCATGAGGCATATGCTGATTGAGGTCCCAGCCTACAAAGTGTCTATAGAGAGTATTGTGGATGCTGTACTCAGATACTGAAACATCTGGTTTTTCCTTTCACAAAAAAAATTCTTTGGTGAATTGACTGTGGGAGACAGGAAGCTTATACAGTACCTTCCTCCTTGGCTACATTTAGACTGTAGCTGCTCTGTAAGTTGATTTCTTCAAGTAATAGTTCCTATAAGGCTTCTAAAACTTGGACTTCCACAGATGTTTATCAGAAGCTTAGCAGACTTCTCAACCTCAAGAATATAGGTTTCAATAGAAGAGAATATATGTAGCTCAGGGTTGAACTGTAGAGTCCTTGGGGTTCTCTGAGCTTTGTTGTTTTTTTGCAGACGTTTCATTACCCAGCTAGGTAACATCTTCAGTGCTAGAAGGAAGTGGGGTTCACTCTCTGATTATATACAGCAGCTTGCCCTGTCAGTGTTAGTGGGGAAATTGTTTTTTCCTTGGTAGTTGTTTCAATAGAAGAGAATATATGTAGCTCAGGGTTGAACTGTAGAGTCCTTGGGGTTCTCTGAGCTTTGTTGTTTTTTTGCAGACGTTTCATTACCCAGCTAGGTAACATCTTCAGTGCTAGAAGGAAGTGGGGTTCACTCTCTGATTATATACAGCAGCTTGCCCTGTCAGTGTTAGTGGGGAAATTGTTTTTTCCTTGGTAGTTACCCAGCTAGGTAACATCTTCAGTGCTAGAAGGAAGTGGGGTTCACTCTCTGATTATATACAGCAGCTTGCCCTGTCAGTGTTAGTGGGGAAATTGTTTTTTCCTTGGTAGTTCCTAGATTAGGCTGTTGTTTACTGCTTGATTGTTTGTCTGAGTTGGTAGTTCTTTGATTAGGATATTGTTTGCTGCTTGTTTGTTTGTCTCATGTTAATCCTGGTGTTAATCCCTGCTTGACTGTGTGTTGATTGCTGGCGAGGAGATGTTCTGGTCTTTTTGTTTCCTTTTTATTGTCTCTTTTGAATAGTGTGTAAATGTTGTTTATCTCTATGGTCTAAGGTGCTGAGAGTTTCCCAGTTGAAATTCTGGTTAAGTCTGTCCATGAATTGTGAGATTAAGGAGTTGTGAGATTAAGGAGTTGTGAGATTAAGGACATGTGGACAGATTTAATCATAATTTTAACTGGGAAAGTGTCTGCATCTTAGACCAAGCTAAATCCAAAAACATGAGGGAATTCCTGGAAGCTTGGTATTCAGACCAAGAGGCACGTAGAGCCATCAACAGGCATGTAGAGATAAACAACATCTACACACTATTCAAAAGAGACAATAAAAAAGAAACAAAAAAGACCAAAACATCTCCTCACCAGCAATCTCTCCTCAAACAGGGATTAACACCAGGATTAACATGAGACAAACAATCAAGCAGTAAACAACAGCCTAATCTAGGAACTACCAAGGAAAAAACAATT